CATAAAAATTAGGGGCCCAAATTTTTATAATATATATAATAGTAGTTCAAAAAAATTAGTAAATAGAAGACACATAAAAAAATTAGTATCTAATATAACAAGAAAAGATTTTGGTACTATATTAACTACTAAAGACCCAAACATGTATGAATCAAATATATTGGAGATAAAAAATACACAATGAGGTTAATCKGTCGTTCATTATATAATATTATTTAATRTTGTTMTAAGTTTTTTTAATCTAAAACCGACGTCTAAAACTACTTGCTTCGAAAACTTTGATATATCATCCATAATTTATCTCCCATCGACTCTTTTGATTGTTCCATTTTCGCATGAATTCTATTTTTATATTAGAATATGATAGATTTTATTGTTATTAGCTAACAAAACCTTCATCTTTCGAAAAAAATTACCAACCATATAAGACGGTACATTTTATATTTATATTTAGAATAATAAAACTATAATTGTTTTTTCATAGATATTCTTTATTATCTAATATGGAGTGTATAAATCTTATGTAATATTCTATCTCTAAAAGAAGAATAAGATCTCAAACTATCACCAACATGAGTTTTTTAATTTATATAATCGATGATTCCGAAAAAGTTTGTTTTAACGCTAACCCTAAGTTTTTGAGTCTTTTTTTATGTAAGAAAGAGAGGAAAGTAATAGAGAGGGAAAAATATTTTGTTTTCGAGATTTTTTTTTAGGGAAATGAAAAGAAAAGGAAAGGAAAAAAAATTGTATTAAAATTTATTTTTATTTATTTACTTTTCCTTCCTCTCTCTTCATTAAAAACACACATAAAAAACTTTATTTTTCTTTCTTTATTTTCTTCCTAAATTCGAAAACATAATATAAAAGTTTAAAATGGTGTTAATCTTCCCAAATTCGAAACGTAATATAAAAGTTAAAAATGGTGTTAATCTTCCCAAATTCGAAAACATAATATAAAAATTTAAAATTATGTTAAAAAACATTAACATGAGATGACATCGAAAACCAACCTATTTACATTGATTTACATAGTATCTCTCGGAAATCAGAATAATCGACCTTGTGACCCCAAATTATGTCATCCTATGAACCAAAAGTATATCATAGGATGTTTTTGATGATGAAACAAATTACGGATACTACATAGAAATGTTCTAGTAGATAATATTAATTTAGAAATTAGTATTGATTGATTTTGCGTCTAGAATAATCGAAAAACGGTTTTATATGAATTTAATGTTAATTATGATGATAAAAACAATATATTAAAAAAATATCGTACTTATCAAGGGCCCATTCTTACATCTCGCCCAGGACCTAAAAAATATTAGGAACGGACCTGGATCCAATATACAACTAATTAACCGATTTCTAAAACTAATTAATACCAATTCAATGATCCATAGATGAAATGAATTCAAACAACACCACAAATTAACATAAAGTGGTTATTCATTCCAAACCAAGGACGCATTGCCGGCCTTTCATTATTCAGAAGCACCATGCGAATGCGAAAAGGTTCCATGGCGATCTCTTAGTTGATGTTGACCCAAATGCCCTGGCTTGGCACGCCCAAGTGACTTACAAACAACATGTAGTAACCAGGAGGAGCGATCATACCGTTTGCAGGTGCAACCGCCGTGATCACATTGTTTTCAATCCCTGTGATTGCCGGCATGATCAATCTCTGGTTTTGAGAGAAACCATGAGTGGTGAATGGTGGGTACACCATGGTTATTATATTCTCACCCAGAGCCAACACTTCGTTTGATGTCATAGTAGCTGCAATCTTAAATGGTTGTCCGTATTGTAAAACCACATCGGAACCAGCTGGGTCAATTATGGGTCTTTCTGCATCGAGTGCAGGGTCCAAGTAAGGAGGAGTGAACTTTTCCACCCTCAATTCGGTTGGGAATTCGACGTCAAACGTGTAGAATTGGTGCGGGTTGCTGCCAGCGACCAAGATCTTGGTGTCGGGCAACAACGCTGAGCAAGAATGATACATCCTGGCGATGTTTGTTGGAGTCAATTCTTTAAACCTCTCACCCATAGGTTTGAATGGTGTATATAAGGCAGGAACAAAATTGGCATCTGTGGAATCCTCCCAACCAGAGGTACCCTTTCTGGCACCATTAAGCATCAAAAGATTTGCATTGGGAAGATGCAACAAGTCTCCCATGGTCCTTGGTGATGGCATGTCTTGCTCCTTCTCCCATGCTGCATCTGGCATTAGGGGATGGATTCTATAACAGTCTTGCAGTGCAGGCATGAACTCCTTTTCAGTAACATGTCTTGCATCCACCACTTGATATGCATCAGGCAAGTTACCACCACAAACTACAACCTCAACATTCATTGCTTGGTTATCTGGGGTGAGTTTCAATGGGAGAAGAGCAGCCATGCCAGAAGGGGGATAGTTGCGAGCCCCACCGCCTGGACATTCCGGATGCTCAGCGACCACATTGCCCGTATTTGGTTCGAAGGTGATAGCTCGGTTGTTGGCATAAAGGAACACGTTACCATCGGGAAGGAGGAACACAAATGGATAAAGGTTATTCTCCACAGGTCTGCCAGGTCCCAAAGCCGGTGTTGTTGTTTGCTGGAGGAAAGGCATGTCGAATCTCCTCGGTGTGAATTCAAGCGATGGTGGCACGATCTCGTAGCTGTAAGAGTCCCGACCTCCCATCACCACCGCGCTGCCGTCTGGCAAAATCTGGTTAGCGGAGTACCTGTGGATTTAAATTCTAATCAGTCATACATGTATTCATGAGTAAATTAATTAGTTGCATTAATTGTGATGTTAATTGATTAACCGAAAACTGTTTCACCATACCATCTACCATCAGCAAGAACATTGAGTCTGGTGTCAAAATCTGAATTCGGATCATCGTTGTTAGGGAACATTCGAACAGCTTTATTACCAGTGAAGGTACCACCAGTAGCAACTAAGTTACCATTGGGCCACAAGTTTCCCGAAGAGCACCATGCATCACCTTGCAACTACAGGAAACAGAAAAATGGATTAGCTATCTCAATTTCATGCATGCATGCATTGTTTAATTAACCAATACCATGAATTTAACCAACTTCTACTTATATATATATATATATATATACATACACATATATATATGTATATATATATATATATGGGTCATAATCGAATAGACTTAAAATTAAGGATAAAAGTTCAACAAACACGTACCGTAAGTGTTCGGACTTGTGCGGTTTTCCAGTCGTAGGCGATGGCATGAGCAAAACAATCAGGCTGGTTATTTGCATCTGGGTTTATTGGGCAGTTTCCCTCTGGTTGCATTTTTATACCTGAAGGCCCAAGCGATGTGGTATCGTACCAGATGACTTTATCGTTAGGCATCAACTGCAGTTGCATGGCAGCCACACCGGCATTAGGATTATCGATTGCCCACTCACCCAAGAATTCAGTCTCAATTGGGGGCATTGTGTAATCAGACCCACCATCCATAGGCTGCGGGTTGGCACCATCGCCGGGAGCAGCTGCATCATCACCGGGAGCAGCTGCATCATCTGGGCCGGCATAGACAGAAGATGCAAGCAATGAAGAGAGGAGGAAAAGGAGGAATGTTTGGCGTACAGAAGCCATAGGAGCAAGTCGATTGCTTTTACGATTTCATGTTTCACATCAGTGTCATCATTTTTATAGTTGAAGAAAGACCTCAAGATCTGTGGTTTGTTCCTATGAATATGGGTTCTAATTGCTAAATGCTTCTGGACACCATCAGTTTTCACCACATGACTCGGACTCTGCTGCATATTCCTCCGCACAATTTAGATTTACTAACACATGTTCACCCATCGTATGGCCTTTTGTCCGGTGACGATGTCACTTCGTCTGAATCAAACTTAAAAACCCATTCTTGAAAAATTACGTAGGTTTGCTATATAACAACATAAAACTCGTCGCTATTTTATTTTATTAAACTTTTGTACCATCAATTATTATAACACATTATATATATATATATATATATATATATTAAAATTTTATTTTTTCCATGTCTCGTTAAGTCCGGACACCCCAGTTAAAAAAACTATTGGTCCCTTCTGTAGGAGGCATGTGAGTGGCGAAGACGTAAGAAATGAGATCGTATGTGAGTTAGAATGAGGTATAAATATAAAGTATGTCTTCAAGTAATCGATTGGAAAAGGAAGGGACATGAATGGACGTGAATGTAGTTTTTTTATATTTTACTAAGAGCATTTGTAACTTTTTTTTTTTGAGTAATTGCGGATTTGGATATTGTATGATGGTGTTGATGAAATTGGTGAATCTTAATTATAATTTATATTTAAATAAATCTATAACTTATAGTTGATATCAACTTAAAATTTATGTGAATTAATCTTAATAAATCCATATTATCATGGATTTTAGATTATAATAAATTAAATTTTCATTTTTCTGGTATAATTTATTTAAATAAATTATTGATTATATATGTTTTAGATAATTAAATTTAAAAGAAAATGGATAATCAAATTTTTATTTAAATGCTGACCTGGTAAGTGTTTAACGTTAGGAGTCAATACTATAATTTATTTTATTGAGTAAGATTGTAGTACATCAAAACGTATCCTATACAACAATTTACCTGGTAAGCGCTTACTCGGGTAAGAGTCGTCACCCCCACTTACCGGGTAAGACTCTCCATCCTTATCATTGCTCTTACCGGGTAAGATTCTTGGTCCTTGCCATGTTTATCCGGTGACGAAAATTACCCGATAAATACTTATCGGGTAAACGTTTAGTAAACGGCCTCTGAGTAATTTTTTTTTTGAAAAAAAAGTATGGATTAGTGATTTAGTGGATGGGATTATTGATTAATTACACAAATGTTTTAAAATGCTCCTCACGTTTCTTAGGTTATTTAAATTAGTCACACTTTTGCGTATATTGACATTTTTCTGTCTGATTTTGGCAATTAAAAAATCTCATATAATGGTTGAGATCTTTTTTTTAGGTTTCTCATTTGAACCCTCCCCTATATGTATGTGTGTATATAAACAAATGATCATGTGAGAATATAAGTTAAAGTGATAATTGTAAGAAGGGATTCCGACCCTTGATTACTTTTTAAATTCACTCCTACCTATGAATTGCACTTATCACAAGATTGGATCCGGTTCATCTCAGTGCAACGCATGAGTGTTGATCTTCAATTGGAATTGATCCAATAGTGTAAATCATTTCTTACCCTTTGCACCATAACTTTTATTCTCACGGGAACCCAACACTATACACACATACATATCGTGTTAGGTCCAAATGATAAACTTGAAAACATTCAAAATGACAGAAGTAATCTCAACCACTAATTTAAAATTTTGATTTCCAAGTCTTTTTTTTCACTAATTAAGACAACCATGGAAAAAATTCATATATTCTAATTTATCTCTTTTTTTTTCTCTATAACACATTTTAATATTGATAATTATCGATTTTTTTTTATCAAATTTTCCACCTTGAAATCATTTACAATTTTATAATCTACGGATCAAATTAAATTTCATTATCTCATATGTGAACACGAACATCGATATTTTTTATTGATCGTTTGAAATGTGACCAAACACAAAGGTTTCCAACAAACCATTATCAGATGGTGATAATTATTAATTCATGTAGTGTAATGTGAATCCTAACATAGATTTACATGTCAATCTTAATAATAATTTGTACGTGAATCAATTAAAAACTTATAATCGAGATTAAGGATCAGTTAAGTATTCATATATATGAACATGTGAATCTTAATTATAATCTGTACGTGAATCGATTTACAACTTATAATCAAGTTTTGCAACCAGTTTGCAGTTTATTTAAAAAACACACACACACACGTATATATATACATGAATAATTTACAACTTATAATCGAGATTTTCAACCAGTTTACGGTTTATTTAAAATACACACACACATATGTGTGTGTAGGGGACATCAAATGCAACCCTTGTAAAAGTTGCAACCAATCTAAACTACACATCCAAATGATCAACGACTGGGAAAGAAATTGGAGCATTTTGATTATTGAACACAAAATGGAGGATAGAATAAAAAATGCATAAGACGCTTGTTGAGAGGAAAATATAATGTAGAGAAATTTCAGGGACATAGTTACCAAAATTCCGAGTTATTTTATATAAAATTTAGATGCATGCGATGAAAATACCTTTGTTTTCATATATGAATATATGATTCATATGAAATGTATAAGATAACTAGAAAAGGGTATTTGAACCAAAAGTGTTATAACTACGGAGGTGATATGCATATGCATTTTGGGTGTAGAGACAGCAACAAACTTTTTAACGTGATATTCATATGAAATTGGTATTCTGTGTTTTTAAATAATCAAGAGAAATTGGTATTCCGTGAAACTTGAAATGCATTCTTCAGTGATACAAATTTATGTGGTATGAAATTAGGATTCATGTGGTATGAAATTAGGATTCCAGTGGTATGAACTCATAAGAAATCAAGATTCATGTGATATGAAATTTGAAATGCATTTATATGAAGGTATGATTCATATGGAACATATACAACGAAAATGCAATGTTATTTGAACCGAAGATAATTTCCTAAGTAAAATAATTTAACAAATTAAAATCAATGAAACCGTCCACTAAAATAGGAATAATTGTCCCTTTAATTAAGAAATGGAAAAAATTAAAAAGACATATCAACCTTTTTAGTAATTAATTAAATAAAAAATAAAATCCTTAAAAAAAGGTAAGATAAATGAATGACATTGAAATAAAAAAAATTGCAACTGTTGCAACCTTTACAAGGGTTGATTTGATTTGTATTATATATAAAAATGAGAATCCTAATCATAAAGGGTGGTGTTTGATTGATTTGAGCTTGACTCCAAAGGTTAAAAAGTACATGGAGGTCTCAAGTTCAAATCCAATGAGTAATAAAAATCCCCTTGTCACTACAACAAAATTGGGTTTATAGGATACCCTCATTCTCTAAACGTCCCAATAGATCGTTTTATAGAACTTAATTTATAGGACAAAAGTAAAAAGCGCCATATCTAAAGGTGTTGTAATAAGTTTATATGACGCTTTTTGACGTCTTAACAAGTTTTTTAGGACATTTTTAATATAAAGTGTCGCATTAGCAACTTTATAGGACATTTTTTATAAAGTGTTCATATAAACTCAATTTTTAATGGGACACTTGTTTTTATAAGACATTTTTTCAAATAGTGTCCTATAAAGTTGCTAATGGGACACTTTATATTAAAAATGTCCTAAACATTTATAACGACGTTAAAAAACGTCATATAAACTTATTACAACGCCTTTAGATATGACACTTTATTTTTTTGGTCATACAAACGAAGTTCTATAAAGAGGTCTATTAGTGTAACATCCCAAAATGTCGAATACTTAAATATATCAAAACTAGTGTCCCAAGATCAAACACTTACATTGCAGCGAAAATAAAATTTTTAATCTTACAATTTATATCACTATCTAAACTTACAATCTTGACGAACATATTTTGCTCGATATAACAATGCCTTGATCTGCACATGTCATTCTTTGATGCTAATCTTTATTTCTCTCTTTATCCAACTTTTCTTTCCAGTCTAATAGCCGCTTTGGTGAAAAAGTTTTAAAAGAGTATTGGGTGAGCCTTAGGCCCAGTGAATCCACTGTTTTCCTGCATGAACAACAACTTTTAGAAGAAACAATTTTCACGAAGCTTTATAAATTTAGCATGCCTTGATGAGAATAATACTTTTCACAAAATAAATATATATAGTGTGTGTCTACATCACAAAGCAACCGCGTCATGGGAGATGTCTGCCTCACACAGCATTATCTGGCGAACTCACACAGCATGTCCGTAGTTACGGCATAGACAAGCTCACAAAGCATGCTCGTCTTTACAAAATCATATTGTAGTACATCCACATTGACATACAAATACTCAAAACACATATTTTAAAAATATCGAACTTTTCACGCATATATAACATATAAAAAATAAGGCATGCAATCATTTTAAAAATAAATCACGTGTAACTCACCATACAGGTCATAACTCCAAACCGTTCCTCGAAGTTCCTCATGTTCTCCAAAAAAAACGCATCAAACTTGTTGCGCTTCACCAAATCATCCTCATCTTTCACCTCTCTTATACGAGTTTCCTTCCCCGAGAATTTGTCATCTCTATGCTTGAAGGCCTCCCCATATATATACTTAGTAATCGGCGGTTTCACGGAATATGAAACGATAAACCATAATTAATGGTCGTAGGTTTCATGACCATTGAGTTTCCTGTCATTAAATTACAATTAATTTATTTTCTTTTTTCCTTTTTCGTTTTTTGGTTATTACAATTAGGACGCTTAGAAATTGAAAGTGTCCTATAAACCCGATTTTGTTGTAGCATGTGGCCACGACGGTTCAAATGCGATGACTTCAGGCTATCTGTAAAACATGTGGTCGTCCTAAGATTAGTCGACTCGCATAGCGGGTTGGAAATCCGGGTAAAAAAAAATGAGAACCCTAGAATTTGTGAGGTATGTGAGATCCATTATAAACCTCTAATTTGAAATAATT